TAATGAAAAAGAATCAGCATTGAAGTTTTTAGAAGACATGTGGCGATTACTTTACTGCACAATCAACAAGTAGAAAAAAAACTATGAAACATAACACAAAAGTACCTTTTTCACTAAATATACAGGAAAGAAAAAAATAACGTAAAGTAGTTATTTTGCAACTTTTAAAACAATTCTATTTTCTATCCATGGCTCAAAAAGAAAATAAAGAGGCTTCCTATTGAAAAGAGTACATTATGATTGTAAGAATTCTTCACATACTTCGAACTTGAGCAATTAATAAATATGATCATATCTCCAAATTATGCAAAAAAAAAGAATATCTTTTTTATAATAGTCTACTTCATCCTTCTTGTCATTTTTCACTTTCAGATTGTACAATAAAATATTATACGTATATATTATTTTCCTATGTACCCCACCATTTGATAATAATCATAATAATGAATAACGATACTCTAAATTTTCATTTATAGATATATGATGTACAGCTGTTTTTAAGAAGAAATGAATCTGAACTGTAATAATATTTTAGAACGAACGAAATTATCTATTATAAATGTTTAAGTATTCATTGGAGAACGATGAAGTGACGCTCGAATAGAGAATTATTGACACAAAATAGAAAAGAAATATGTATTCTTAAAAAAAATTATCTATTAGACAGACATCAGTGAATAGTGATCTTTCTTATAATTTATGCGTGCATCTATGCATATGCCAGTACATTCTATTTGTCTCCTGTTATTTCCTATTGTATTTCGTTATAACTCTTTTTTTGTTTTTTTTTCTCGTATGTCTGTGTATTATTTTTTACATTTTTATTTCGCTTTTGTTCTTGCGCTGACGTGTAGCTAGTTTTTTGTTGCTGGTACGATCATAAACAGTGAATGGCTAAAGCGAAGCGACGAAGTAGCCATAGAAAAAAAACACAAAACGCACTCCCAGAAGTAGATGAGCAATGAAGAAAAAGGAGACAACTAAAATGTGTTTGATGTCTGTACAGAAAAAAAAAGGGAGTTTTTTCTTTCTTTTCTTCGTTAGTTCTGTTCCTTTGAAGACGCTATCAAGCATTTACTTCGTCGGATATTTTGCCTTGTGTTTTTCTCCGGTTCTTTTTTATTATGTGATTGCCATATTCTGTTTTTTTTTCTCCTTCTCTCTCACTCTCTTGTCCGGCCGATTTGACGTCTCATCTTTGATGATTGTATGAAACTCGTCATACGTAGGTGTTTAATTTAAATCGCGATTCAGCTATCATTTCACGTAGCTACTTGTTAACATAACGACAACATATCACACCAAGAACTGTTACTGCTCTCTAATATTGATGTTTTTTTTTTAAATACACACGGTTAGTTCATTCTCTTCTAATATTTGTCCTGTGATTGTTTATTGTAACATCAACACTCATAGTGTAGTTATCTTCTCAATTTGCGTGTGCGTGATAGAAAATTTCCTGCTCTTATTACAGCGGTTACTATTACTCGTAAAACAAGAAATAAAACATCGGCTAATCGAAATAACAAGGTGATTCCATAGATAAGTATTATTGTATATTAGATGTCATGATTTTTCTCTCGTCTTTATTTTAATAGACAACAAATACGAAAATAGCCATCAGAAAAATGTCAAGTACACTTCTGTAAGATTGAAATAAAAAAAATTAACTTATGCCGTTAGATTCTTAAGTTATTTTGTTTTCTGCTGTTTTTTTTACTCGTCACCGCTTTTTCTATTTATTAATAGTGTATTACAGTATATGAATAAAGTCTCTCGTATAAGTAGTTAATGTGGCAAAGATGATAGTAACTGACTATTAGCGATGAGTACATATGACGAGAAAAAGAGTGAAAAAAAAGAAAGAAGGTTTTATAATGAAATGACGCTAATATGGATAAAAAAATAAACCGAAATATTTTTCGTATAGTAGGAATAGTAAAAAGAAAAGCAACAATATCTCAATAATATGTAAGATTGTACCATTAAAACGTAATATTAGCTGACATAAATATACAGGGTGTCTCATGAAGATAAGATCACACCTGCCTCCCCACTGAGTTTTAAGAGAAATAAAGATTTCTTCAACTAAAGCACGTTCCATTTTCAATCTTATGTTATATCCATAGAGACATAGGAGCGGCTATCATGGATCATATTAGTTTGAATTCGATCAATAAATATCAATGAATAAATACAAAAACTTTTGAGCCTTCCCTATTTCAATCATTATAAGACCCTCCCTCCTCTCAATATAAAAGTGTTGAATTAATACAGACTTTACCTACTCAAATGATACTTTTGAGGATCTATTTGAAAGAGGAGACACTCAGCTACATGCTGAAAAAAAAATAAATTGACAAAAACTTTTTTAACTTTCCTACTGTTTGAGAAACTCAATGATCGAAAAGTTAATTCTCCAAATTATCATGATTTAGTTCGAGAAAAGTAAGTTTTTACATGTTCCATGTGACGAAATTAAATTTCAAGTACACCATTGAAAACTTTTAAGTCCTTAGTAATTATGAAAAGATATTCGAAACATATTTTTTTCTAGAGATTTTGCGAAAAACGTCTGTCTTTGTGAGAAAAACCTCTGATTTGAATTCAAAAATGGTCAAAAAATCTTTTCCAAGGATATCAATAGAGAGACCGCGAAATTCTGCACAAGATTGACTATTTTCTTCTTCTTCTTCTACGTCAAGTCCAAAAAATTTAAAAACATTCCCCTTTTTAGTCTTTCTAAATTTTCTCATTTTTGCAGTAAAATGTACTATCGTCTTGCCGACTTGAAGAGCCTATGTTTTGAAAATTTTTGGAATTTACTTTAAAAAAGGGAAAGATAGAATATCTTGTGCAGAATTATGTGCTCTTTCTATAGATGTCATTGGAAAAAATGATGTCCATTTTGTGAAGTAAAACTCGAGGCTTTTCTTACGAAAATGAACACTTTTCACATAATCTCTAGAAAAATTGTTTGTTTGAATATCTTTTCATAATTACTAAGGGCTTGAAAGGTTTTTGTTGAAACATATGTAGTCTGTGTAACTTTTATTGATCGAATTCAAACTAATATGACTCATAATAGGCCGCACCTATGTCTCCATGGATATAACATAAAATTGAAAATGAAACTTGCTTTAGTTGAAGAAATCTTTATTTCTCTCAAAACTCAGTGGGGTGCGGTGGGGGAGGTCTTAGAATTATGAGATACCTATATTTATATTCATTTCTAATAACATACACTCGTTCATTGCAAGTAATAATATCTATTATTCGATTCAAAATAAAACACAATAATCTCAACTTAAATTATATAAAAATGTAGTGCAAATTAGTCTCTTTTTTCGCTGTAAATTAATTACATAATTCATTATTTCTCAACTTCTCCATCCAAGTAGATGTGCAAAAAAAAAAGTGATAATTTTATATTAAAAAAAAGTATTGATACAAAAGCATCTTTCATCTTAATAAATTTTATACAGATTAATGGTATGAACGTTGCTCTTTTGAACGGTGAAAACTGCTTGTCTCTATCTTGTTTCCATCAAAAGTTGTTCAAAAAAAAATGACAACTGATTTTCTATTTTGAATCGGACAATAGATTTTTACTATCTAATATTTTCTAAAGTTTCATATAATTATACCCTTGTATTATGGCTGATATTTCATATGAGAAAAACAATCTGTTAATTTTATTTTGTTTTAATTTAACCTTGAAAGTAGTTTTACATTTATTTTAGCAGATAAATATTAAAATTTAAAACATGCTCTAGATTCAATTGCAAACAATAAATAGAAAGTTTTTAGTCGTAGTTATCTGTTTTTATCATAGATACTAAAGAGTTTTCTCTGTTGTCTTACTATTCAAAGAAAAATAAAATATTCAAACAAATAAGAAAAAGGATGATTTACTTCATGTTTCCATATTGAGTAATAGAATTCCATTGATATGCGAAACTCTCTTGCTATCAGTGCAGTATCAAAGTAAATTAAGGTCTTATTCCCTCTACTGATTTATAATTCATGTACTCAAACCGTTAATAGATATAGGGTCTTCTTTTGATCGCGATTAGGACGAAACTTTTATGGTTGGAACTCCTACTAAAGCTGTTTTGTTCAGAACCAAGAGGAAAAATAGATAATCCTACTCATCTCTAGCTATTACGGTTCAAGTACATAATATCGTCGATATTTTATTCAGTAAACAAATATAAAAACACAAGGTGACTTTTATACATTTACGTTAACTTAAGACATTTTGAAAATGAAATAAAGACATGAATTGATGACAGAAAATATTTTTTTTATTTTTATATAACACAATTCATAATTCTTTTTTTAAAATTTATCTTGTTCAAATATTCTACCACATAGATCTGTTTATTCTCTATACATTAAAATATGTAGTTCTTTTTGTTTCTTGTGAAATTTCTAATAATTTAGTAAAAATTAAGTGTATTTCATTTATATTACAACGAAGTTTGCACGACACACAAAAAAAATGTACTCACTTTGGTGTAGATTTTTCAGTGTCTATATTGTTTTTCTTCCTACTTCGTATTTTTAAATCACAAAAACGTGGCTTTTTTCTTCATAGAATGTTTGTCGTTCTGCATTTCTCCGGGGTGGTATTTTTTTTCTTGATAAATCAAGTTCTTACGATGAAAAAGAAAAACTATATAACGACATCTATGATTATATGCAAACAAAAAAAACTAAATTAAAATATATCACAAATAATCTATTGTTGACAGATAAATGATTGCTATTGAGATAATAACTTTGAGAAAAATCTTAAAAATGAATATGAGAGTAAAATTAAAATTTAGAGCTTAATGTAACAATTGATCTTGGTTTTATTGCAGATAGATTATCGTTTTCCTTTAATCAAGAGATCTTGTTAATCTTCAATTGAACAAAACCAAATAATCTCATAATTCACCATTGAATTAACGAACTTTGATAAATTATAAAGAAAAATTTAAAATCAGAGTAATATGGCAAACGTCAATCATAATAATGGCAACAATTTATTTGCATTACATAACAGTAAGTATTATACACATTGAATAAAATCTGATGCAAAAAATCAATTCTGAATATTAAGTTTTATCAAAGAATATTTTTCATTCCTATGTATTTTTTATCTATTCAGAAATAGAAATAAGGTGTGGGAGAATGCCAAATTCAAGATGATTTTTTCTCTCATTCATTCGTATATAATTTGATAGACTTTAATGAGTTGACCCTGGATGTATAATTTTTGTTTTCATTCGACCAGTGTCTGGTTGAAGAAAATTGTAAAAAATTCGAATAACTGAATATGTAGCATTTTCGATTTATAAACTTCTTTTTTCTTTAATAGAACTCGTTAAATTTCAAGTATATCGTTTTTTAAAAGCTTTATGAAAACATTTCATTCTAATTCAGCATCGAAAATTCGATAGATATGTGTCATTTATTTAGTGAACTACCAAAGGATATATTTTATTTCTTTTTTAGATTCTGTTTGATTGTTGAGAAAATGAGATGCGAGAATGAAAAATGCGTCCTTAATTAGCTACTTTTATTATTAGGGTTTAGTTAAAAAGCGCAGTAGATAGCATATTTCGAATCAACGTCCAAAACTGCATCGAATCACATACGTCATAAGAAACTTCTTTTTCTATGAAAAATAGATTCATTCAGCGACTAAAGATGAAATTTTAGAAATATAGACCTGAAGGAGATCGCGGGTATATTTTACATCAAAATCATTTCTTCCTAAAACATGTATTGTTCGATGCAATTTTTGATACTGATTTCAAATATGTTATTTGTTTTGCTTTTTAACTCAGCCATAGCAATAAATCTCGCTAACTATGAGTAAAGTTTTCATTATTTCATCTGATTTTATTATTCGACGAGAAAAAAAAATCAATTTTCTCAACAGTCAAATAGAAAATAATGTAAAATAACAAATATATTTTCTCTATTTCAAGATTTGGTTATTGTAATGAAATATTCCTTTTTCTTCTTTCTTGCTAAATAAAACTAGATAAATTTACCAGAATACTCACAAACACCTACTATGAGGCATTGTCGAGCTACCTATTTTGGACACAATTTTTTTAATTTTATTTATTGCAAATCTACATAAATAACATTAGTTTACCAAGCTTTTGATACTGAATTAGAATAAATCATATTCATAAAGATTAAAAAAAATAATGCAATTGAAATTTAACGATTTATGTGAAAATAGATATTTGAGAGCAGGTTATCAAGCTCTATCAAATCATATATAAATGAATGAGAAGAAAAATACAGTCGATTTTTGTATCTCCGAATCTTATACTTAATGGCGTTGAATGATGGTTATTTAAACTGACCTTATAAATATATTATCAAGATATTTTAAAACGTGTATTTTTTATTTATATAGATGTTGGACAACCACCTCTAGATGGAACGCCTCATAATTTACAAGAAATGACAAGTAAAGTTCATTTTATGAATCCATTCTTATTTCGATTATTGACACTTTAGATCAACAAATCAATAAACGTATTCGATTTTATGAAACAGCAATACCAACAGAAAATCAGTTAGTATTAATGTTGTTTTGTTTATTTTTCCTAGGAATATTATTATTTATTATTATTCGTACTTATTAATTATCAAATAATGAATTATAGAAATTCATCTGTCGTGCCAGTGTATCCAGTCGTATCAGAGTCTTCAATTATATTTGTTGATGGTGAGATTCTATGAGATTTCGCGAATATTTATTTATTTATTTTTTAAAGACTATTTGCGTCGAGATCCAGATGCACAAGCAGAAGATCGAGTAGATCGTAAGTCATATTTTTTAATTTAGGAAAAAAACTCAATAATCTGATGTTTTCAATTCATTTTTATAGATCCAACTGATGAAACTGCTACGTCTTCAAGAGCAGTGATGGGTAAGTGACTTCAAAAATTTTTTTGACAAAATTTTAATATTCTATATCTAGTTGCCGGTGATGGCAGGTGAACCAAGTATTAAATAAAAGAACAATTTGTCATTTAAATTACTCAAGGAAAACTTCGCTTTAATCAAGGAATACTAAATTTACGTTTCTTTCAAATTTTGTTCTTCTAGTCGTATTAAATCTTTTTTTTATGACTGTGAAAGTATTCAAAGACCCTCGTTCTGCTCAAAAATCGATTTTTATTGTAATTTGATTCTTCATGATATTTTTAGCGTATGTTGCAGGAATAGTGTAAAGATTAGAATCATTTTCTTCCTTTTAATAATCTAACGCTTTTAAAAAGATACTATTTATCGAAATAGAGTCATAACAGACCTCATAACGTATCACTACAGTTAACGAAAATTAGTGTATATCGTGTACGGTAGCAGTTTCCGTTGCTATAAATAGTCTAGGCACTAACTTGTATTCTGTTCTTTAGCAAATTATTAGTGTAATTCACGCACAAATAAAATGTGAAACATGATTTAGTTGCCATTATTTCTAATCATATGAAAATTCTTTTTTCAATACATGTTTCTTTACCATTGTTTTACTTAATCAGTCAGAAATGCAATAAAAAAAGTAGTCTATATCTAATAAAGAGACGTTTGATTGCATTTCAACAGCCTGTACTACAGTCTATAGGGGAGGAAGTGGATGGGATAGAGTTTCTATTTCTATAGTGCAACAGTTTTTGTTTATGTTCCACAGTATATTAATTTTATATGATATTTAAACAGATACAGATTGTTGAGGGTGAATGTCAACGTTCAAAAAAAAATGTTTATGTGATCTGAAATGTCCTTAAAATCGCATATTTGAGTTTTTATTGGATACATTTTATTTTAGAGATATTAGTATGCTTGAATAAAGATACTTCATATATTCAAAAACATTCAGATAACAGGAAATAGAACTATGTAGTCACATGTAGTACAGCTTGCTTGAGAATTTTGAATAGTATGAAAAAACAATTTCTAGTTTGTTGTCATCAATAAAATTCTTTTCTTTTTTTGAGAGAATGAGCTGAGAAATATACAAAGTTGTCAACATACTGTAGTGTTCGAAGAGTTTCTCCTATACTATAACATACGTATCTTAAAATTAGAAACTTTTATAGTAATTGATTGATTTTTGAGTGAGAGCGGAGGGTGTTTGAACTACTGATTTGTTGGTGTAATATCTCGCGTGAAAAAAACATTCAACTTATGTACTTGAGAAGTGGTGATATCGAAGAAAGCTTTTTTCTTATTTCGTTTTACTGGTGTTTGATTATTTTGATAAAATAAAGTTATGTTTAATTTAAAAAATACTCGATTATACTATGATTCGCATAAAGTAGGTAACTGAATTGCTTTATGATCGAAACTAACTGAAATGAAATTATTGAAAGTAACAAAAACTAATTAACACATTTTGTTTCTAATGGCCTTTCATCCTTCTATTCAATTCATTAGAACATCAGAAGATGACTTTAATAAGGAATACATACTAGAATATCCTCAAAAAAAATGGTTCCTTGTGTAAAGATGTTACTTAACTTGAATTGTTATTTGTTGAATATAATATTATGATAATATACACATTGCTCTAATCCCAATTGATTGAGATGAAGAACAAACCGTCGTCATCATTCAATCCCATCCGTCATCAACTTATGGTAAATGTGTTTGAAATATTCATTCAATCACTATAGTGATTGGATCAATACGACGTTATTTGATAAAGGGTTTGTGATGTCGCTTAATCAAAACGAAGGATTCTGGTTATGAATTTTGGAATTGATTTATATATTCCGTTTGTATTCCTACTTTAGACGATTATTGTTTACTTTCTTTTCAATGGGCTATATAGCGAGAAAGTACAGACTAAACTATATCGTATCATATATAAATCATAAATGATAAATAGAAATCAAACAACAAAAATTACATGAGAACAAAAGATGGTATATTTTTTCACTACAATATATCTGAGGTGTGGGTGTAGGTCTGTTTCAACCACCCTGCTGCAGCATCCACAAGCAGACCCACCCCAGTCAGTCGCAGTCATACCCGCACCTACGCCAACACTTTCATCCACACCCTTGGCGTTCTTACTAGCGACACTTTTTTTGCTTGCTCTTCTAATTAGAAAAAGTGCTCTTATCTAGAACAGATGCGCTACTCGTTGAACTACCGGTAATAACTCATTTATTGTTAAAGACAAATTAATGATCATTACAGCATTCGAAGCAGCAGACAATGCCGATTTCAATTATGTAAAAAGAATCTAAATAATGTTACGCAAATCATATCTGATTGAGCTGTTTTTCACAGCTGCCACAAAACAAACTATTCTAATTAGGAACATTGACTCTATATTTTCATTTTATTAAGTACAGTATTTTTGATAAAGCAGAACTACCAGTGTACCAAAGAAAGCGGTCGTTATAATACAACTGACGATAAGAAGCACGAATGCACCTTGAAATAAAGTCGGCGTGCAATAATGTGGCGATGAGAAGTCGTTGAATTGTACTTTGTTATACTCAGCAAAGATGGACTTGATACCGATTCCAAAGAATATCACTGTTGCGACGCAAGCACAACACCCAATCCCTGCAAACCATACAAAAAGTCATATAAAAAATGTTTCCATATAAAAGATCAAATACTTTTTTATAGCTTCCTATGCTATGTATTCCCACTTGGTGTCTTATAGAAAATGAATAGTGAATTCTCTCGATAAAATAAGCAATAGGCAGAGACCGCAGGAGAGCAATCAATAAGTCGCATGTCTTCAGAAAAGAATTCTTCTTCTTCAGAACCAAAGTGGTTCAAAATCATTGCAGGAATTGAAAATCGTCGATACTCGGGGTTTTGATTAAAAAAGCACTGAGACTTCTAGCGAAAACCGGTGAAAATAGCAACAACTTCCAGTGTAAACCCTGCGGGCTTAAAGGGTGAAACACGATGTAGCTGCTCTTACCAGTCACACGAATACTACTTTCTTCGATAAACCTTGGGACCCATTCACTCTCCACTTCTTACTTAACTGGTAGAGCTGCCACGAAGAAGCAGCTAATGTATTCTAATCAGATTCTGGTGACATAATCATTTATCGTGTATCAAAAGGTCTCTTACGGCCTGTGATCGTCTGAAGACCGTCTGTCACGGTCTGTGATGGGCTATGAATAATTTTCTAATGAAATAATAAGTAGAAATTTATTAGTTAATAAATTCATCTTTCACGGTCGGTGCGGAGGGGGAGAGGTATGGGTGCAAATTTCTACCGATAAACACTTCAACACTCCTTTCAGATCGTGTTTCACAAAATAAAGCGTAACCAGCAAACGGATACATGTAAGTGTTTTCCATCTCTATCCTCTGTCTGGACTTGTCCTGTTTCGGTTGAGGCTTTCTGCCCTATTTTCCCGATCGTACTTTGTCGATGATCACTATGAACAGTTTTGTTCACTGATTAGTACCAAAAGAGGCAAAGCTTTCAACAGAAAATAGCGAAAAGCACTATAGTATTGAAATCGGAGTCTTACAGCATCACTGGTAGGGAGGCACTTTCTAGCGGCACCGTAAATATTGGTTAGGCTAGTGAAAGAGTTAGAAATCTGCGGCGATGACTAGTTTTTGCTATCTTTCAGACACCTTTCTATTAACAGAAGTCAGTGGTGCCTTGGTATCGGTCTTCATGGTTAATCCCACCATTGCATCCGTAATCAATGAGGTGATTCAGCGGTAAATAAGACCAACTGAAAGCTTCATTTGATTGTTGCAAGACAAGAAAAATGAACAGTGGTTCATGGCAGTCAACTAATCGGTCTTGTTTCGCCTAATCTGTTTAGACTGGTTCTGGTTGCAATTTTGCAGCACAGGAGATTGAAACTAACTAGGTAGATGATCAAAGTTGAATAAATCCAGCAAAATCTGAGAAAATCTTGTTAGCGCAGCTCCTTTGGGGCTACAAATTGGAACTCATGCATGTTTGTTAGTCTCATTAAAATGATTTAAAATACGTAAAATGAAAAATCTTTCATAGACTGCAGCTGCTTTCCAAAATAATCGATGATCAGAATAAGAATCTCTTACTAGTGTCTGCATCTCGAGCACTATTTTTGTCTTTTTTCTTGGTCGCCATATTTTTGTGTTTCACATTGTTGCTATTATATATTTTTCGTTATTTCTCATTTCAGTATTTAGTTTTTCTTAATTTAACGTTATTTTTCGAATCCTTGATTTAACTGACTAAGAAGACTGTTGTAAATATCAATTATATTTACAAAGAGAATCAAAGGACTATAAAATATCTTAATCTGCTCACTAACACTGATGCTATTTATTTGACAAAGTTATCATTTGATCAAATCATGCTTTTACTATTTATTATATACCAGCTGTAACGAATCAATACATCATTTCTCCATTATTGTTGGCATCTTTAACATAAACTTTTATTTGTACAAAAATTGAAAACTGCACTATTTAAAATATTCAAGAACGAATTCCAACAACTGAAGTTCAAACGAAGATTTTAGATTATTCTAGACTTGTATACGGCACTCAAAGCAATGCTATTGCTGTTGTTTTACTTCTGCTTCCTTTGTTGCTAATGTCTGTAAGGTGAGGATGTCTGTAATGCAGAGGGAATCCAGACAACTTCGACCTAAAACTTACATTCACTATTTTCTTCAAAAATATACGTGAGATCTACAAAATAACAGGTCATTAACGCTCGATTGAATTAAACCGACGTGAATGCGAGATATTGTTCTTGGCATCTTCAAACATAGCTCGGATGCCAAAATCCCAACAACATTAGCAACAAGAAAATGGTCTTGTCATATTTCTAGTGCTCTCCTCTGTGCTCAATGGCCTTCGAAAAGCTTTCTTCTTTTCGAGTTCAACCACGCTCCTTGCTTAATAAAGTCTAAATATGAAAAAAACAAACGTAATTTGTACCAACCTAATGCGACCTTGTGACTCGAGGATTCGTGAACATCTACTTCCTTTCGTTCATTCGAATA